TAAAGGTAGGGTAGGTAAGAATGGAGAAACCAGCTCGAGTAAGCTATATTTTGAAAGTACACACCCGAAAATAAATCTGCCCCTTCCTTCAGACTTCCTTACAGAGCCCCACCTCCAACACACACGAACGTGCACATGACCAATGAGGTCACGAGATAAGTTTGTGTACGAGATGGAAGGCTGACAGGCAGGTAGGCCACGGCTTCCACAGATGAAATATTTGTATATATTTATTGTCAAAGCATTTAATGTATTCACTGCTATCGGGATGTTAAGAGCATTCCATGGAATATAACAAAAAGTGTTTCTGAAGTGAATTACTTACCCTACCTTTAAAGTCTCAGACGTTTTTATTTTGCATTTCTTTCAGCGCTGAAATTATGGTTATAGAACGCATGCAGAAGCAGCAGACCCGCCCTCAAAATCAATAATGCCTAATTTCCTTACTGTAAAAGGTATCATTGAAATTCAGCCATATTTAAATAAAAAACGTTCCTTCAGAATAAGATTGCAACGCTTATATACGCCAAATATAAACAATTTTCTTTGCAATTGTAAGATGAAATCAAAGTAAACAAGGCAACCACAGATCTAGGTTTTAGTTAAAAAGAATAATGTAAAATGTAAGATATTTAATTTGCTTCGCTCCAAATATTATTAAAAAAAGGAATAACTTTGGCACAAAGAGTGGAAAGCTTGGATTCTTCAGCAGTTCTGTAATGGGAAAGTGACAAATAAAGAAAGAATGGAGAGAATGGCTGATATCTTCAAACAGCTTGCCATGTGTATTTTCACGAGGGTATGTTCCATTACAGCAGAGCGCAACATGGCTGAAAAAGCCATCAGAGATGTAAAAGGATATGGTGATCGCTTGTTTCCACTGGTGATAAAAGGGAGGGGAGCTTGTAGCATTGTAGTCATGCTTCTAAAGAGCAGACGCAGTTCTGCCTTCATCTCCTGCCGTGATGATCCCTCAGGTTGACTAAGTTAGTTGAATACAACTTGTAGGTTTAACCGGATATAAGGGCATTTGATTTACTTATTGGTAATGTGCATTTGGATTGAATCTGTTGGATTTTTGTTTGTATATCTTATTAAAAAAAGGTTATAATAAGTGTTATAAACTCACCATGTTCTTGGTGTATGAAGAGATACTGAACATGACAGTATACAAAAAGATGTAATCTTGAAAAACACGAATATGAAATACAAAGTAGTTATACTTTAGATATTTTACATTATGATTAATTTGTATTATAAATACTTCCTGCGAGCAGATGTTATCCACTGATGCCGTGAGATGAAGCTGAAAACTCTGAAAGAAAATATTTAGTAAGTCAACATTGAGATAATCAAATGTGCTATTATTTTAACATTCAACAATTAACCTTAAAACTTCTCATGTCTTCATGAGTTTATTAAAACATTTAAAAGCTGTGTTAAACCACATGTGAATGATTTGTAATAAAAGTAAGAATTTGTCCATGTTTTTAATCGTGTTAATAAATAACACTGTGCCATAAAGCATTCATTAACTGTAAACACCAGTTACAATAATCAATAGATTAAAAAAATACAATTGTTGACAAATACATTAAAAGAAACTTGAACCATGCAATCATATCGTACACTGAAGTGCTAACTAGTGTGTTGGGTTGAATTCAATATTGATTTATGTTTTGTGACGATTCAGCAGGATGCAGGTTTGGCGTTGCTGTTTCAGGTGAAGTGTAACATGATGTTTGGACAGTCTGAAAAGTGTTTATGTGCCAACAGCTCTGACACTCTTCTACATGCCCCCTGCAGCCATCACTGAGCATGGCATCTCTGGTCTGCAGCTGCACTTTTTCAGTCTGTCACAAACTTTTGCATTTGAAACACGCCATGTTCGGCTGTGCATGGCAAACCAAGTGATGTCAGATTATTTTTCCATTCCAAATTGTTCAGTTTTACCTCTCTGTGACCTGGATAGTGGATGTCTTTAGTAGGATTTAAGGGCCTATTAAGAAATACAAATAGTTGGTCAGGCCCAATATTAAAGCTTCTTTGGTGACACATTACCTCCTGTTGTGTTGATTTAGCCCCAGAATCATCATGCACAGCCAACAAAGCTTCCCAAATATTGAACTATTTCATGGATGCTTGCATTCTTGGATACACCATTTGAAACACAAGACATGTGATTTATCTCAAAGCAAAGGAAAGTAAGGACTATCTTGATTGACCCAACTTTCCAAAAGATATGAAGGCTGTATTTGATCCGAGTTTATTTTTTCAAGTCCGATAAATCAGAGCCTGCACCTATCGGCACTGTCTGGCTTTGTTTTTGTGCAAGGTTACTGCAAGGCCAAGACTTCACAACCTGATTTAATGAGACCCGATGCATCTGTTCCCAGTTTCACACCGGTGCCATCAAAACCTAAGTGGAAACAAGCCTCGCTCTGACACCCTGGACGTTTTTTGGAAACATACTTTCTGTGAAAACTGGAGTTTCGTATTGTTTTCCCTCAAGAGTGAGCCTGTATTTGAGCAAATGTGCAAACGTGTAATTACTGCTGCATGGGAAAACTTTCTCTTTTCCACTTGAAAATGCTCTCCTTTGTTTTTGACTGCTCTACCACTCTCTGATGTCAGTCATTTAAAGCATCTGAAGTAAAGCATCTCAAAGCCATGAGTAATGTCAAAGGGCTGGGTCCATGCAGACAGCTTGGAGCCCCTGTGCTTGCAGGACATCAGCTCTTCTGGCACCTCGGCATTCTGGGAGCAATGAGTGTGCACCCCCGAGGTTGGCAGAGAGAAGGACCATGGGTCGTTTTCCAGTGACTGGCAGAACTCATGCTTTGAAACAAATGACTTACTTTATTTCAAGTGACAGACCCACTTCTTTGCTAGCACACTTGCCCTTGGCAGCATCTTAGGCACTTTGTTCAGCAGCAACCTAAAGGAGCCAGTGGGAACACTAAATGTTGATTTGACTTTTGATTTTGGGAAGCAGAACAAATCGTCCCGGGAGTCAAATCCACTGTTGCTTTTTGATGAAAAGCATGTTTCTGTTAATGCATAGCTGTGGTTTAGGCACATGGTTATAGTGCTATTTTGAAAGAGAAACCTATTCACAGAGAGTCTTTAAAAACGTTTTGTAAATCAGCCAACTTTATGGAAGTGATTCAAACTGTTGTCTGACACTGAAGATTTACAGGGAGTTACGGCTGGAGAATTTACATTTTCTGAGACACCCTAGTGACACAGCCTCTGCCCAAACACACTCTGAAGTCCTCTCCCCCTGTCCCTGATACTTAACCCCTTCTAAGAGCCTGGAATACATCTGATGCAGAGATGGCAAAAGTACACACATCCTTTACTCAAGTAGTACAGATACTCGTGTTTAAAAATACTAAAAAGTAGAAGTACTGACTAAACTTCTTTACTCAAGTAAAAATAAAGAAGTGTGGGCTTCGAAATGTACTAAAGTAAAAAGTACCCATTACTTTGTGTCCTTGGGCAAGACACTTCACCTTAATTTGCTGTATTCACTTTTACATGTCTGATATGTGTAATGTGTCATGTAAAGCACTTTGACCAATCGGAAAAGTGCTCTAATAAATGTAATGAAACGCAGATTAAAACTAAACTAACGAACATGTTTTGCAAATGTAAGAAGTAAAAGTAAAAAGTCGTCAGAAAAATAAGTAGTGGAGTAAAGTACTGATACCAGAAAAATGTACTTAAGTAAAGTAACGAAGTATTTGTACTCCACTACTTCCCACCTCTGCTCTGATGTACAATAAAACTGTCTGAAAATATAACACTTTGTGCAATATACATGCAAGTGCAGTATACCCTGCTGCAATTTCATTAATTTTATTATTTCCTATTAGTTTTTTGTCACTTTTCTTAAAAACAAATATACTGCTTCTTCTTTTTTTTTTACCATGGTGTACATATCTGCTATTTAGTTTTAGTTTTTTACTTACTGTGTAATTAATAACATCTGCATACTTAGCCATTTTAAAATGATCTGCTGTTGTAATCATGTACATTTCCCCGTTGCAGGACATCTAACGGATTTCTGATTCTGATTCTAATCAAAGTTATACTACAAGTCCTGTCGCTGGCAGGGTCAAACTTTCCTATTATTGTCTATACTGAACAGGTTGTTTTATGGTCATATCTAAGACACATGTTTGGGCCTGCCTTATCATACTGGGAGAAAAAGCTAACCCAAGGCATGTGCTTGAAAGAGAAGAGTGACAAGAGAGATAAAGGCTAAAATGATTAAATACATTTCTTATCACCAAGCTCAATATCCAAAGGTTACCTCCAAGAACACGCTCACGTTGCATTCTTGCTTTCATATCCACCACTAGTCAAAGTGAAGATTATTTGATGCTCTATTAATCAATTGCAACCAGTGTGCTTTCTCCTTTATAAGTGTTTTACTGTTGTTGAATCCTTACCTCAACAGAAAAGGCTGGTTTAGTGTGTCACACATTGACATCCTCTGGCACAGTGTGTGAACCACCCTGGAACGTGCTCTGGGCTTCAGACCAGCCTGACTTTGGTGTGTGCCACATGGACAATTCCTAGAGCCTCAATCTAAATATCTCTCCCACAGAGCTACGAGAGCAAACTTTGGACTCCCAGTTTTCCTCAATAACGCATTTTTTTCCTGGCTTCTCCATCATTTACTTAAACCATCCACTAGTTTCCGCACTGAGACAGATGGACTGATGCAATTGTCAATTCAGAAAACCCTAGGTACATTATCTCAAAGACCTCTGCTGACAAAATACTTAGGGAAGTCCTAAACAAAGTGTTGGATTTGGTCTTTTTTATGGATTTGTTGACAATACATTTTTTTAAATGAAAACCAGCCTTATCCTTTAAACTGTGTCCAGCTTTATTTTATACTGTATGTTTAATGTTGGGTAAGCAGCAATATGTATTTATTATATGAGTAATCATAATAGAATAATTTTCAATCCTCAACAAAATGGTGTACAAGAGATTTATTTATGAAAACAGAACACTCTTACACTGAAGTTTGTAGAAAATGTATATCTAACAACACAAGTATGCAAAAAAATCGTTAACATTTTGTGCATTGCAAACTCTCAACAAAATGAACAAGATGGAAACCAAACGTGGAAGAGCACGGCTGTTACACAGACTTACAACAACACGGCTGTACACACTACACAGTCAAACTTTGTTTTTAGAGACCTTCATCTGGATTCCATTTCCAACAACACTTGTAAAGCTTCAAAACATTCATAAGTGAGATTTGTGACTAACATAAAAATGAAAAAGGCATTTGTATAGAATATTTTCACTGTGATTCATTTTCATGACTCTTAGCTGTTGTGATATGTGACATGTCTCTCAGGCAGTACTTAGGAATCAGGCAATTAAACTGCATTTCATTTCATTTCAATACCATTCCACTGACTTTGAAACCTGGATGTGCTTTCTTTTTTTTAGTATGACATATTGTGTTTCAATATCATAGAGGAAAAGCTACCGTGCCTTTTTTTGAAGATGGACTATTTTAAGTTCCTATAGACGTGTAGGAGTACTGAAAAATGTTCCACGTGTACAAAAGAAATATATCACTCTGAGGACAATGAAGCCCTTCCTGTACAGCCAAGAAAACAAACATTAGCTTTTTGAAACACACGTGTAACCAGAATTAACTTCCTCTGGCAGCGACTATCACACACATAAACACAGCTGATGTTTATCCTCTCCAAAGCCTTATGCTACAGTTGATGTGAAACATTTGAAAAACTAACAAGTGAAGGAAATGCATGACAATACTACACATCTTGCAATACTATTTGGTGTTATCTTGTGATTGTGATATTCAATTATGCGTTTTGTCAGTGTAAACAAATAAATAATTATTTACAAACTCTAGCAAAAAATGCCAACAAACAAAACAAGCAGAGCATAAATAATTTACAAAAAGGAAATATAATACAGACTTAGTATAAACATCTTTGGCATTTACTAAAATGGCTTATTTAAATCATTTTCTGTAAAAAACATTCAGGATGAAAAGAATGGATAAATAGGAATGTTATGCTTTGGTTACAGTTTATGTTTGTATAAACTGTTTGATTAGCCATGAATGAGCCTCGTAACACCAAACAGACACAAATGTATTAAAGAGTCACAAGTTATTACAAACTGAAGGAAAGCATTAACAGCGTGTAAGTGGTTGTACAATAAACCCTATTAAATGTAGACATAGGTATAATTAGATAATCTGCTTTTTTTCAACAACAAAAAAACGTGTCCAATCCCACCAGTTCTTCTTTCCCAGCTTCAGAAATGTACAAGTCAACAGCCATGCTTTCCCCGGTTCAAGGCAAAGCATGGAGAAGTATGGAAAGTCTCATTTACGCTGCAATGGATTTGGCGATGACGTGATGTTTACTTTGAGGAATTCTTGTCTATTGCCTCCTGACGTTTTGTTCTATCAGACTTGATTCAGTTATCTGTGGAAAGATTGAGAAAACAGCTTCCATTACCGCCACATTTATAATCAAAACTGGGACACTCAAGGAGGTTCACACAGTCAAAGTGCCAGGGAGCAGCAACAACATGTGCACGGTGTGCGTCAAAAATGAAAGCGTGACTTTAATATCTGTGGCCGTGATTGTGAAAAGGCTGCAGGCTCATTTTTCCAGTGTTTAGCACTCAACAGAAGATCCTTGGACCAACACGCAAGGTCTTTCACAATGCATCTGGGGCATTGTACATAGGCAAGCTGACAGGCAGGAACATAGCGTGACCATTCAATTTCAGCCAACACACAACACGTAACCCCTCTCATCGTTACCTTATGAACACTGTTGGCCACTCCGACTTATCTGAGGTTTGAAAAAGATGTTGAAGGTTTAAATACTTTACCCAGAATCATTCACAGATGGAGAGGGTTTTCTCCCACAGTGTCTGATCTTTGAGGTGTATACAGGTTGACGTATTTGGAACATTTGCGTGTCCACTTACATACAAATACATACAGTATACACACATCACACACATAAATCCCCAAACTAAACTCTTCAACAACTATTTGTACAATAAGCACCTAAGTGTTGTCCACAGAATTTAAATGATGGTTGAATACACTTACAGCACTAAACACTACATTTATTTTAGTCAAATCCATAATAAGACAGTATTTATATTTGAAGTGTTACCTAGCTAAATACTATGTCTGTTTGTATGTCTGTGTTTGTTAGAAGAATAACTTCTCCTGCCCCAGTGACAGAAATGTTTTACTTAGCTTCCCAAACCCATAAAATAGTTAATTTTTGTATAAGGTATTAATAATTATGAATCAGTTCAAACCAGATTTAATCGAATTGTGAACCCTTCAATGCTATTCATTACAAACTATTTTGATCCAACAGTTGAAACAAAATCAGTCATTCTTTGGATATGAATTCATACAATTGTGAATCATTTCTGTTGCAGAAAAGCTATATTGGTTTCTACATATGGTAAAAATATTGCTTTTACTTTGACAAGCTAAAAGCTTTGCTTTTTAAAATACTTTTAGCTAAATAAACTATGGTCAAATGTTTGGGAAATGTTTGGAATACGTATCCCGTGATGCTTTAACCTGGCTCCTGAGGTTAAGCAGACAAGTTAAAGTGTCATATAATGTTTTTCCGAGTTGCTGTTTTTGAAATGTGCCATTATACATGCACGCACATACACACGTCATTATTTCTATAACAAAACAGAACCGTTTATAGTTAGAATTTTAAAGTAATCAAAGCGTTTGTACTAACCTCTGCAATCATACTTGAGGTCGGAGAAGAACACCAGTTCTTGTGAGAAGACAAACAAGCCTAACCTTCCTCCGGCAAACGTCTTGTCATAAACTGGTCCTGAGTCAGCCATGATCTGTTTACCTTCATAGACCACAACCCTGCAGAATACAGGTCAGACATTAACTTCTTAATGAGTTGAGATTACAATGATTACTAATGGACAGTATTTCCAACAAACTGCATTAGAGAGATTTTTAACAGAATAGCAATGGGTATTCCTTTTATGGTCAACTTTGTTTCTTACCTTATAAAACCAGTCTTTGGCCTGTGGATGAGATGCCACCTGTAGGCGGTGTAATCCTTCCAGCCAATGTTTTTGGGGTCATGCCACAGAGTCCGCACCTATGTCAAATAGTTAACAGCATTTAATACAGCTTCAGCCTTTTGAGGTCACCTATTATGCAAAATCCACGTCTCATGTATTTTATACATAAATATGTGTCCCCATTGTGTTAAGAGATTCAAAAGTGTCATGAAAAAAGATTCTCTCTCTTTTTGTCCTGATCCATCTATATAAAAACCTGTCTGAAAATGAGCTGATCAGATTTGGGCAACTTTGTGATGTCATAACGATTTTTTTGCTTGTGTAACCATTAGCCATTCACCAACCAAGGTAACCCCCCCCCCAAATTATTACCTGAATCTCCTCCTAGGGCACCCTTGTGTTTTTTTAAACCAAACTCTTCGTAAATGGGCGTGGGGTTTGGCTGTTCATTTGCATTTAGGGCTGAAACACAGGGTGTTATGGGATGCTACAATGCATGACCTGTTTGGTATTTCGAGCCAAACACTTCAGAGACATGTTTTGTATATATCTGAGACCTATAATATACTGTTGAAAAAGAGTATAATAGGGGACCTTTAAAATAAACTAAAGATCATCAAGCCTGAAGCCCACCTGTCCAGCAGTGTTGCCCGTGTGCCACAAAGCATTCCTGAGGTTTTCTCCTGTGCCAGTGGTGGAGTTGACCACTTTGAGTGAAACACCGGAGATGCCGAAGGCCTTCGAGGGCTTGTCCTCCCAGTAAGTCTGCGTGATCTGCTTCCACATCACGACATAGAAGCGCCCACTCGACTGGTAGCCGAACACAAAACCTGCATAGTCATCATCTCTGTCCGTGTTCACGTACATCGTTCCGCTGAAGTCCACAGCACTGAACTCATCAAAACCTGTGATGGTGTGACAGAAACGTGCCAAATATTACAGCTGTGAAGTCAAACAGAGATTCAAAGAGCAGCCCATAAAATAATGGAGTAAAAATATGCATGCTGCTCACCGATTGCGAGGCCTGGATCAGAGTTGGCAGTCTGGACCAGCTCTTTGCCCTGATGTCTGACCACCCAGTTGGGATCGATTTGAGTGGTTCCCTTAGGATCCAAGTGGACCATCTGGAACTTTCTGAAGTCTGTGATGCTGATGGCATTGTTCTCCGGACACACGTCAAGAATATCTGGAATACTGTCGTTGTCAAAGTCGTCTTTGCAGGCATCTCCTCTCCCATCGCCTGCTCAAGAAAAAGAGATCAAATAAATTAGTTTGACCCAATTACATTTAGACATGAGAGATTTATATGACATTTTTTCCTATTTCTCCAGAGATGGGAAAATCTCTATGGCAGCATGTGAGTATCATAACAAAATTCCCTCTTCTCTGAGTACTAAGCAGCTCCTCCAAGTCAATATAAAAATGAATGGGGGAAAAAACGATTCCTCCCAGGAAGCTGGCTTTAATACCTAGGCCAAGTCTAATAAGGCAAATCAGCCATCTTTTCATGCTGTGACAACTTCCACTGATACTTGGAATAACTTCCACTGGCATATGAGTCTATTAAAGGCCAGGACCAAACAGTGGAAAGGACACCAGAGGCTAATGAAGGCCACAGTGTGGAAGTAGCTAGCTGCTTTCTGTCATCAGCTTTGTTATTGCACTTGGGCCAAAACGATCCTATCAAATAAACACTATCTGACGAGCTGTGAAAGCGTCAGTGTCCGGGGCCTTCCTCCTTCACGGTCTGTTTTCGGTTACAGACAGCTGTACAAACTCCAGGTAACCCTGCTTAAATTGGGCACTGTGGAATAATCACTAGCAAAGCCTGAGGGAAATAAAAACTTCACAGCCTGGCGTGTGCCCTGCTGGGCGGCTCACTGAAGTCATGCAGAATGACATCAATTGTGCCAAGCCGACCGTTGACTTTTTCCACAGCCACCATATTTCACACCTGCTGCAGTTGAGCTAATTGCTGACTGTGAAAACATCTGTGGGACGGCAGGCTGAGTTAAATGTGATGGAGTCAGAGAGTAATGAGTGAAAGTCTGAGTGCAGACCTTGAGTTGAGATTATTTTGTCAATAAACTGCTAACCCCTTTATGTCAAAATGTATCTTGATGTCAGTTTTAATTAAATAATGTTTGCAAGTAAGCAACAAATAAGTTGATGAAGTTCCCTAGTCTTAAAATAGTACGCAGCAAAATAATATGGCTGTAGGTAACTTAAGTCGGGGAACATTTTAAAGAGGCAGTTAACCACAAAATCAAAATGTTCCGATGACCTGAAGTGCTATTAATCAATCTTGAATATTTTGAGTTGCTTCATATGGAGATATTGGCAGCGGAGATGTCTCCCTTTTAACACTTTAAATGTTAAATCCTCACCATCAGAGTCCATCTGGTCTTCGTTGGGTGTCAGTCTGCAGTTGTCCTTGTCGTCAGGTATACCATCATCATCATCATCATAGTCACATGCGTCTCCTTTGCCGTCCTTGTCATGGTCCACCTGGTTGGCGTTGGCCACATAGGGACAGTTGTCCAGGTTGTTCTGATGGCCGTCCTCATCGATGTCCTGGTTATTGTCACACTGATCTCCAACCAAGTCATTGTCCACGTCAGTCTGTTGGATGAAACCAGACAGAGGTTAACACTTCCTACACCTACTGTAACGTGCCATTATCATGCAGTATGGTATGTCACCTGGTCGGGGTTGTGTAACAATGGACAGTTGTCACACTGGTCACCAACTCCATCCATGTCAGTGTCCTTCTGTTCAGTGTTGTACACATAGGGACAGTTGTCGGCCTCATTCAGAATTTCTGAGGAAAAAGGGCAGTTTTATTGAGAATTTAAGGTACAAATATAATAATAGGCTGCCTTAGATGGACTGATTTGATCTATTAAGGTTTGGCCATTTTACCATCTCCATCAATGTCTATTGCGCAGGCGTCCCCTTCTCCGTTGTGGTCGGTGTCTATTTGAGCAGGGTTGTGCTCATAAGGACAATTGTCGCAGCGGTCGCCAACTTCATCCTTGTCAAAGTCAAACTGGCGAGGATTGTAAAGTAAGGGGCAGTTGTCCTGTGGGGGAAATAACAGTAGTTGTTAGGGAATACTTTTATTATCATGAATGTGTTAATAGAAAATGTGCTAAAAACTCTTGTACCCTTTCGTCGAGAATTCCATCATTGTCGTCATCCTTGTCACAAGCATCTCCTTGACCGTCTTTGTCAAAGTCTTCTTGTCCAGAGTTGGGAAGGCTAGGGCAGTTATCCTAAAATAATAAGACACAGATACCATCATTTATAATAACTGCAGCAATGGCTACACCAAGTAAGGTAATGGAGTACAAGAACATACCTTCTTGCAGTGATAGGTGTCGTTGGCACCACACACAAGGTTCTGATTGGGCCAGCCATCCAAATCTGAGTCTTCTCCACAAATAAAGCCGTCTCCAGCGTAACCAGTCCTGCACTCACACTTGTACATAGGGTCACTGAAGTGGCTGATGTAGATGCATTCGGCATATTTGTGACAGTTGTGGGTTTTGTCCTTGCATGGGTTCTCTGGCTCACACACCTGAAGAAAAACACGGCAGGTTATCGATGACATGTTGAAGTCAAGAATACTTATCTTACTGCTACTTCCTTAAGGTTTCTTTTTGGAAGCTACTTCAAAGAAAGGGCTTATCTGAATCTAAAGGAGAGATTTTGGCCACAGTGCATGGCTTTTCTGGGCACAGTTGATTTTATGAAATCCCACTTAATGCATTATCCATATGACCCACTGTTGCCCCTTTATTGCAGCACAAGGTATTCACAGCTGCCACTCATTACCAGAGGATGAGCATGAAGGCAGTCTGGATGCCACTCCATGAGCTCATAGAGCAGAGAGTGACAACAGGACAGGCCTTTGATCAAAACCGTGAAATGGAACCCCCTTAATACAAGCAATGAGACAATTCCTGTTTTCCCAAATCAATTAACAAAATTGGGGCATCATATCAAAGACAAGCAGCTGCAAAGGCCAAAGACGAACATAATGGTCCAAGAGGGATTTATGCAAGGGTCAGTCAGAGTAGCTCAGGAGTTTATGAATACAATGATCACAAAGGAGAAGAAAAGGGTGTTCCAATCAAGTAATTAGTGTGACTTTTATGACATGTCGTATTACTCGTAATGCCGCTCAAAACTTAGCAGCTATGACAGCGGTGGAATCTAACTTGTTTTGAAGATCTAGTGAGGGGAGCCAAAGTCAAGAAAAGCTTCCCATTGCTTTGCTTTAATAAAAGCACTGATCTGTTCAGCATCTACAGTAACAAATACAGTTTCAATCTACCTCTGATCTTGCAATTAAGGTAACAGAAATATGTAACATATGTTTGTTCTTAAGTTTCCCAAATGTCCTCCAGCTCCTTCTGCCCGCTGATACTGGGTCAAGCTGAAGTGGTTTCCCTTCCAACGAAGTACAAACACTCTCAGAGAAAAAACTAGGCTTGTAAATCACACAAAGTTCTTCTTCCATCATTCATCAATTTGGATCTGACATACAAAAATCCACACAGCTGCTTTTGAAAGCCTAGCCTGGAGCTAAAGGCCCACATGTTTCTTCTCTTTACTGCATTTTGTTCTCACTTCAAATGCTACCCCTGTTTGAATAGCATCCAATCAATAGTTTGTTATTGGCACTGAATGTGAATAACATTCACTCACTTGTTTGTTCTTCTTTGCAGCCTCCACACCCATACCGAAAGGCTGGGTGCCCTTGTAGCGCTTCGGACAGGGCAGGCAGTGAAACCCTGGGTTGGTGTTGACGCAGCGCTGCACTCCACTCCCTTTGTAACAAACATCAGAGACCATGTCGCACTGTAAGAGGGGAATGAAAAGAATCAGTGAAATTCAGACAAATAATTACATGAATGAAGTACTAAATACACGTCTGGTTCATGCACATGAGAAAAACAGGAGTTTTTACTTCATTGATATCTTCACAGTGGGTACCATTTCCACGGAAACCAGCAGGGCATGGGCCACACTCCCAGGATCCATCTGGAGAGCTGTTGCAATCCACTCCCCCAAAACAAGGATTAGACAGACAGCCATCTGCAAAAGATTTAGATGGGCACAAACAAGGGAAATTGAATTAAACATTGTTGGACATATCTGAATAGTGTGCCTCCAAATGATTCAACTTTAAAATGTGATTTTAACTCAAATTGATACTTATAATTTATTTAATATTGATACTTAAGTTAAAAAATACATTTAACAACATTTCTTTCAAAAACAGTGCTGGCTTTAGCTACTCTGCAAGAAATATTTTTACTTTTATTTTGCATGCTATCTGTCAGAAATATAATCTTAAAGTATCAAGACAAGTTCAACAGTCTACAGACATGTTAGCTATGCTACTTAGGCCAGTGTTGCTTTTAGCTTAAAGCTAAATAGTGCATAATGACAGTTGCATACTAATATGGTGGTGTTTAGCATGTATAATGATCATCCTGTACAGCATGAACGTTTACTGTGTTAGCATGTTAACTTAGCATAGCAGCACAATTAGCAAACATGGTGGTGTTAAGCAGGTATAGTAAGTCAGTAAAATAATAAGTGACAGACATTGACATCCCTAGAGCAAGAAGATGGCGTGGCTAATGTAGATGACCGCTGCTCACCAACAGGACAGGTTTTTTTGTTACAGCTGTCACTGTCCTCAGCCTCCCCGATACATTTCTTGCCACCATACTGAGGTTGAGGACTATTGCACACACGCGCCCGACTTTTGATCCCTCCTCCGCATGTTGAAGAACAGGTTGCCCATGGAGACCAAGGACCCCAACCACCATCAACTAAAAAGATAAGGAAATATATGATAAGGAGTGCATTTTTTTGCCATCAAGTATTTCATTCTACACATATTTTTGCCATTTTCTTTATAAAAAAGCAGCCAGAGAGTCTGAAGCGTGGAACGTAATACTACAAGAGAAAACATACAGAGCTGATTTGAGTCAACATTTTCTGAACGACAGACAGGAATCCAGTCCACAACACAGGGGGAACGTTGCCTCGGGTGAGCCAAAAGGGTCGAGAAAAGTCTGGTTCTTTCACACGGATGCTGCTGTAATGGAGATGCTGCTTTTGAGTTAACAGGCTGAAACACTCACTTGGACAGGGCTCTGCAGTGCAGCGCTGAGTCTCTCTCCCATTCCCCTCACACTCTGTACCCCCCAGTTGTGGCATGGGAGCATTGCAGTGTCGTATCCTGGTGATCTGTCCTTCTCCACAGGTCACTGAGCAGGACGACCATGGGGACCACAAACTCCACCCTCCGTCCTGACGAACTGGGTATCAAACATCAAACATATCATGCAGAGATCAACAAAACACATGTCACATATTATCCTCTAGATTTCCACTCAGTCAAATAGTTACAGACGTGTATAATTTGCAGAAAGCAAAGAAAATGGCCACCACATTTTCTTTAAGTAAACAATATGTGATGCTGGCGACGATGGCTCACTTTCAAAGATGTTCTATGATGCCTGCGCCAGTATTTATGTCATTGTGGGTAAACTAACCTCCAGTGGTTAGACTGTTTCAGTCACTCACACAGATGCAGTGTAATGTAAGCTGCAAGTAATAACACATGCTACTCCTACAATTTATGAAACACAAAAGTCGTACGGTTGGGCTTCCACTTTCATATAGTACTGTCCATTTAATGATCAAATTAATTAATATTAATTATTTTTGCAAGCAGTGGTGAGTCACAGCGCTGTGGAACACTCAGTGATTTATTTGGAATTTAATTTGAGTGGCTACACCCAGTAACCATATCATGAGCTCCAGGGCTGAACTGGGATTCACTGGATCCTTTTTCGACAGATTGAAAAAGAAACAGAGGCGTTCAATTGGTATTTTGCACTTTTAGGGATCCTATCATAATATGTTCAAGGTTCAAGGTTCAAGGCTTTTATTGGTCATACGAACATAGCTACAGTGTAGTTATGACGATGAAAATCTTAGGTCACAGGCTCCTCCAACAGTGCAACACAATAAAACAGATAAACAGAAAAATATAGAGCAAGTAAATAGTAAATACAAAAAGAAAAATAGTGAAAAAAGTGAAATAGTGAAATAGTGCAATATGTAACTGGTTTTCACAGTTCCAGCATATTTCCCCCTCCCACATCACATACTGTTATTTGTCTTAAATATTTATTTGGGCAAAGGTATCATACTTTGATCAAGTAACACTACTGCACTTTAGGTTGCTAATACATCTCAAGTGTTTAAATGAGAACTGAGTGGCAGAAGAGTTTCAACAACGTCCTTACCACGGCTGTCGCATCTGCTCAGGCTACACTTGCGGGTCTGAATAGAAGATCCGCTGCAGGGGTTGCTGGTTGCATCACATGACCGACCCCTCTGTTGAGTTCCTGTCCCGCAGGTGACTGTGCACTCCGTCCACTCTGACCAGGGAGACCAGCCATCCTCACTGTCTATCGCTGGAACAAGCAAAAGCACAAAGTCAACTTTCTTTCGCAAACACTCCCCCTCTCCTCGATGTTTAAACGGAATTACAAAATGACCATCAAAGGATCATGACTGCATTGTTTTTATTATTTATGTCAGCCTGTTTATCGCATTACGTCATCTGAAAATCCCACAGCAGTCACACTGAGTGACTTATATTTTGTCCCATAAATATGTGGGTCGCTCATTTAAACCAACTGGCTGCAACACTATTGTGGTAAAACTTTATATGTGTGGACTATTGTTTTTACGCCATATTGAACCATTCATTTCAAATAGCATTCACACATAAAACTGCATGTGTTAATAATTGTGTTTATATGCTGGGAGGATCTGAATACTTACGCAAACACACTGGGCAGCACTCTCCGTCGATAAATGACGGGCTGGCACAGGCCACTGGGGGGCATGTGATTTGGTGACACACAATCTTGGACTCCTGCCATGAATGAATGAAATACATATATCAGGATCATTGACATCCACGGTGAATCTGTCCATATTTCCACATCACTTGGCACTACCTGGCAGGTGCATTTGGTGCAGCTGTCTACAACCCAGTCTTCCTTATCATCGAAGAGGCGGCCATCCTGCCAGCACATGTTTTTCTCTTTTGGCTTCTTCATCTTCCCAAGGGCCTCCTTCATGACTGTGTTCTCCTCTGTCTTAACATACAAAGACAGACATATTTGCAGTCAGAGAGGAGATCAGTCATAAACGATTAGGGCACACTCATGACAAAGGTATGCTGCATTCCATAAAGAGGCATACACCTGCTGACAAGCTGATTCCATCATGAGAGCACATGTGAGGTTACCTTTCACTAGGTGGAAAGGGTAATAGTGCATAATGTCCCAGTAGAAATAGTGTTTCTCACTTAAAGAGTTTAACACATCACTTGTGTTGAAAACCAGTTAAAGCATGAACATCACTTTCCATGTTATAATAAGTGACAAATCACAACAGTCCTATTTTTATTTTTATTTGTTTTGCTACATATTCTTCTTTCTGTGTTTTTGTATGCACTATATATACCATAGCTAATTCCTCGTATGTATCAACCTACTTGGTAATAAAACCGATTCTAATTCTGATTCTGATGTAGCAGCATGTAGCCCTTTTAATTAACCTATTCTTCCAACATATATTCCTCTCCAGTTCATAATCAGAGTTCAGGTCGACAACTTCATATGATTATGAGACATCTTTCTTGTCTTGAGATGGCCTCAATAGAGAAACAAAGCTCAAAGACCAGAAATAAAAAAAATGTAATAACCCAAAGAGGTAATCTACACGAAAAAGGTACTACATTTTATTAATGAGAAAATGTTTAACTCAAAATGTGATTTGCATTACTCAAAATTGCAAACTACATGTCTTTATTGCTCTAAGTTTCAAGGAAAACAGCCCATTAAATGTGCTGCTTAGTTGTCCGTATTGTAACCTCCAGCCTAGTTGGAGACCAGGGGATCTCTGGCTGGACTCCTGAACACTTGGGAGCTGTCAGTCGATAAACTATTGCCAAAGGTGTGTGTGAGCATCCTCCCGTTGGAAAAAGGAGGCAGCAGCGTGCAGTACTAGAATCTAAGACACCACTCGATCTGGAAGAGCCTCAGGGACCCTTCTCATCACAGCCGCATTTTTTTTTCTCCCAAGGTTCATGCTTAGACTCTCTTATTGCTGGGAGGCTCCCAGAGGAAACACATGGACTGTTTAAACACAGCCAGACATTAGACTGGACTCCATCGCTGCCAGGGGAACACTTCCTATATCCACATGTAACATGTCATAAAATCTTTCTGACTCACGCTGCCACAGATAGCAGGAGTCACACGGGTTCAGCCACCACAGGCCACTCTATAAACAGTCCTGCAGCTATTTCTGTTTGCTTTCAAACCAATGGAGGTAACCTAGTAACCTAATTAAAACGTCTTACTTCCTGGCTACCACAGCGAGGATTGTATAATTTGTTTCCCTAAAATGTCAATTATTCAGTGAAATTTTCCTTCCTCACACAAAAACTGATTTGAATGATTTTCCCATTCAGCACTGAAATTGGCATGTAAAGCAGAGGGAAACACGCAGTAGCTTGTCTAACACAAACACAATGATTTACACTATGTCACTTTTACTACTTACCACTTTTTGCAAGCCATCAATAAGGTTGCTGACGACAACACGCAGGCCATTGAGCTCCTGGAACATGGTGCTAAGTTCCTCGCAGGAGCGCTCGCACATATCTGAGCCCACATCGTCTGTCTTCTGACCGATAATGTTTGTGGTGATGGAAGGACTCACATCTACAATTTCTCTGCTCTCGCTCACAATATTGGCATCATCTGGAGGGGGCAAAATAGAGACATCAAGACAACGAAGATACAAATCAAATGAAGGACAAACATTGGTGATGGGAAACACACTTGAGGGGTCTGATGATTGAAACACAAGGACTTTGTTTAGGGAACGGAGTGATTTCCGTTTTTTTTGTATCCGGTAAAAAGATCACAACAATGCGGTAATTACAATGTTTGGTTTTGTTCTCCAAAACAGATGTTCACTCAGCATGGGTTTGATTTGACAAATGTATCTGTTTGAAACACTGACGGTAAATCTGTCCACCAGAGATGACAGCAAGGGTTGGCTGTGGGAGGGGATTGAAACAAAATATTGGTATTCGAGAAGTGAGGAGAAACCACACCGTTATAAATCCTCTGGACCTTTTATAGAAGTGGACACTTCCTATATGAACTTAACAGACCAAGTGACCACACAGATGGGTTTACAAGCAGCCTGTGAAGCTCATGGTCTTTTTCTTACAGCTGATCCGTAGCACAAGCACTAGAAATACCCTCATCTCCAAAGTGTGTGAAATCCCTCGAGTTGAAGCAGACAATCTGCAAATCTGACAGGCGAAAATACAAATCACAGAGAAAACAGGGAATCTTTTGTAGGGTGGGAATACACTAAACCATATGAAATTATGAGTATCTGTCTTTTAAACTCCCTTAATTTATTTTCCTAATTTGTATCTCAAACCACTTAACTTCAGCGACTTTGGCTGTGTGATGCTGAAAACAAACACACAAGACACATATCAAAGCTCCATGGAATGCCTGTCAGTCAGCCAAAGCACAGCACATATCGGCAACTGGTTTGGATCTTACAATGTAAATTGGTGAAGATTAATAGCAGACATGGGGACTCTAAATCAAGTAGTCGTCCAAATTGCTCAATGATGTCCCACTGTAGCCAGTGCTATGTTTTCTTTCCCTTTCAGTCTGCTAGATTCATTCAAATCTCAGGAGGGCTTCACGCTGTGTGTGCGTGTGAACGTGCGCAAGCTCGTCTGTGAAAGCATTTAAACATTCTTCTCTCCCTGATAGACACTCTCTTTTTTTCCTCAAAGTAGATCGAGGAAAGAATTTCAAAAAAAGGGCCGAGAGCTTGTGTAGTTTTAATACTGCTCATTAATGTCCAACATGACAGTTTTTATGAGTGCGGGTTATGTGAGTTTATGAGTGACTTTTGGCATTAGAATTGCTGCCAGGGCAGAACCTTGACTGGTACTAGCCAGCATGCAGAAAACCTCCAAGCCTTGGTGACTTTTGTTAAAAAAAATAAACTCTTTCAACACAGCTTGTGGCATCTAAAACAGCTCTGTCACGCACAAACATGCCGACCACATATTGATTTGCTTTGTCACAGCAAACTAAAGACACTGTTTCCAGCTCTTGTGACCCTTTAGCTTTGTTGAAAATGATGATTATGTACATATTAACTGGGATATCTGTATCCTTTTTTGTGTGTGATGATCATGAGGTACTGTTCCTCATGCGAGCAAAGCTTCAGCTGAGAAAAGCTACCTAATCAGCCAATTCATGACTTCATTGTGTGTATGTGTGTTTGTGTGTGTGTGCAGCTGGAAATGGAAGCACCCTGCTCTGCAGTATAGCATTCACTTTCTCTTTTCTTTCTCAGGCATTATCCCAAGTCCAATGCCAATGGAAATAAATGTGAGCATCTGTATCTCCTTTTTTTCACCACACACACTGATCGACATCAAGCCACTGCATCGACACTGTTGTTTCCGTAAACACAAAGTAATAGTGGGAGATCCTGCCGCATATCAAAGCTGCAACTTTCTTGATCCACTTTAGAAAGAAAAAGACAAAAACAAGCTACATTTGAACAAAGAGAGGCTCTGAGTTTGCTAAACTGTTTTGTCTGGCAAGTTGCTTTCGTTTATGCTTAACAAAACACAGATACCATGCTCTGGAGGATTGCATGTGAAAGAGTTTCCCGATCACATCTGCAAGGTATTGGGCTTCAAACACTTAGGAAATATAATTATTTTGACTCATCATTTGGCTTATGAAAACCTCACAAATAGAAATTGTTCTCACTGCATGAGTTTGTCAGGAACTGTTGGGTGACAGTGGTTTAAACTAAAGAAAACAACACAAAAAATCCACTCTTACCTTGTTTGAGGACCTCGCAGTCTCTGCTCAGCAGGATGTCTTCCACTGTGGTGTCAAAGATAAAACGCACATTCTGCAGGAGGCCCTGTTTGGAAAGAAAATATGTGTCTCTATTGCATATTTTGGCATATTTTAGGAATGACATATGTCCCTTTTGAATGAACACTTACTACTGTTCAAGCATGCATTGTGAAAAGAGAAACACTTTCCCTCTTGACCTTGTCACCCTCAATTTTACAGACAGGGGTAATTTAGAGTCTAAATCTGGAGTCTTTTTCAGACAAGACCAGGGCAACATTGAGCCACTCTGCCACACTTTAAAGAGGGAATATGCATGTCTCTTCTTCTGGAAACTGTTGTTTAAAATGAGCTTTTATTACAGGCTTTGTTAAGATAACAGTTTCTTGTAATTTATGAAAGGTAACACAATATTCTAGGGCCGTTAAACTTCTGCAATCCAGCCAGAAAATTCACAAAAGGACTGAAGTAGAAAGACGTACGTTTCCAGATGCTAGGAAATCCTTGTCTAGCTTGTCACAAGCCAAAGTCTTACCCTGAAGTGGTTCTCCCGGGTGGATCCCTTGGCAACATACATGAGGCTTCCCTCAGCCTGCAGGTGCTCGTAGAAAGGCTCATCCAGGATGAAGCTGTCTACCAGGCTGCAGCCAACAAACAGGTTTGCATTTTCCCCATGAACATGAAGTGTGATATTCTTCCACTGTGAGTCAGAAAGGTCCACATCCTCAAACGAAACCACGTTCTGGGAGCCGTCCACCCAGTACACCAGGTCCAGAGTGTTGGCACGTCCGTTGGACACAATCTCAAACTGCCGCCTGCCATCAGAGGTCTCCAAACCAATCAGGGTGCCCCTTGAGGCGCGGTCCTGGCGGATGCTGGCCACAAACACAAAGCCCTCATTGTTTTGAATCTGACGTAGTATTTGTTTTAGTATGGGGGTGCTCACTGGGGGCAGGTGGTCGAAGCGGATAAAGCGGAAAGCTGGGGCTTCTGAGTCTTGGCCCCGAAACTGTTTGGCCCCCAGGGTCTTGCGAGAAATGTGGGTGATTTCAAACAAGTCGAATAAGGTCTCATCCTCCTGCTCACCATCTACAAGTTAGACCAAAAGAAATGCATAGGGACTGTTTATGGAAAGATAATACATATTGATCAAATACTGTCTTGAAAACAAGAGAAAATGGCATAAGGCATATACACATTGAAAACTATTCAAAGAATCTTAAAAACGTCACTGGAATGGCACCTTAAGTTATAGTTGTGCTAGCATTGAGTTTGGTCTTAACTTAAACAAAATCATAATAATAACTTCCTATTAAAAGTCAGCATTGCAGTCACAGTTAAAATTGTTCCACTTACCTTGAGGTAAAGCGTGGAGGAAATTAAATGATAAGAGCAGCAAGAAGAGACACCTCCTGAGTATCATATCTCCTTCAAAAGAAACAGAAATATTTTATATTATTATTCGTTTTTATGTGTTTTGTGGCGACACCTTGGGTCCATCTGAAATGTTGGGTTTGCCTTTGAGCCTCTCAGTTAATACTTCAAGAAATAGTGAAATAGATACAATAGAAGTATAAAAAAAATCCCGGATATTTAACTGCAATCTACCGTTTACAGCATCTGAAAACTCTTTAACTTTCCTTAAAGTGTTTTCACCCAACAAGTAGCCTAATTAATTACTTAGCGCTGTTCAACTGCCCCTTGACTGTAAACCATCAATCCACATAATAAAGTTAAACGAAAAAAGTGCCGTCCATTTAACTTACCTGACGAAGGCAGACGTTATGTTTCAGTCCGTCAGATATCCGACAAAAGTCAAATGAAAAAGCCGATGACAAAAGGAATAAGAAGTGGTAACTCCTGTAAACCTCGTGCGTAAAAAGGGTTAAGTCCACGTTGGTTCTCAACATCCACAGTCTGCAGGACTAAAGGCACAACAGTGACTAAAGCACCCACCTCCCTCCTCTTATATAGAGGCATGCAGAGAGCCTGTCAGTCAAACTGCTCTGGGTATGAACCGTTTGCAGCCGGTTGTTAAGAGACCGAGTTACATAATTATCTTCCGATGGCGTAATTTTCTTATCCGCGCGCGCTCATAGAGGCTGGTATGAGGGGTGAACAACCCATCATTTCTCACGGCGTGATGCCCACCATCTCCTCCCTATCACACCCACCTTCCCTCTGTGTCGACAGCTAATTCACTTTCATTGGGGAAGGGAGATTTGGACTGTTACACACTAAAGACACAATGTTATTTGTGGTGACGAAAAAAACGAACAACAACAATGTTTTCAGTATGTTGCTCTGGGTGGTCTTAAAAAACAAAACAATTCATAACAGCAGAATAATGATATGGTATAAAACAGAGACTTTAACCCCACTTTCTTGAATCTCATAGGTTATAGAAATAATTCAAGCTTTAAATAACATTTTTGAAGTTGTGCTTAAAGGCATTTTGACAAAAAAATAGTTATAGAAAATCCCAATTAAATCTACAATGTAATACTACAAAAAAAGATCAAGAAAATGACCTCTAATATGATAGAAACCTTGGATGCTTCCAGTGCTTGGAGACTGATAGGTTTTTGCCAAAGCTTTCCTCTGTGGTGTCAGGGAAAAGAAAAGCTGATACAACATCTAATTCCTGGAGCCCTGTGGAGGGATCATAGCTCTGGATGTGCATGGGTACGCCTTTGTGTACCAATAGGAAACGTCTAAGGGCTGATTTGCGTCAATTGGAAACCTGCATTCCATTTAAAGGAAAAAACAGGCTGGAGAACAGACAGTTTCTTACCAAATTGGACAATTTCATTTCAACAACATGAACATAACCTGACATAAATTAGAAACAGTAGTGAACATTAAGTCAGACATACAAAAATATGACAATGCACGCTGATGATAAAAGCCCTCTGCAGTGGCCAGAGAACATCAGATTTAAACTGTCAGGGGTGGAAAAAGTTAAAATGCTCCACAGACTTATGCTCATTAAAAGCTGTCAGTTGTAGTTTCTCAAGACGTGATTTAATCTGTTGAATATTTTCCCTTTTAACTCATTAATTATCAACGTATAATGTCAGTTATGGAAGGAAAAGTCTCCATTGGCTTTTTAAATATAGAGCTAGTATAGTCTTTCTAGTTTTTAAAGCTTTAGTATAAGCCGGACATTCTTTAAATAAAATGACCATTATTCAATTAATTATTATCATGATGCCACTGATCATTTTCATTTTTTAAAACTGCATTGTGTAAGTCAAACTTGCAATACATCAATATCTGGTTATGGTTATGGCAAACTGCCATCACCTACTATTACCTATATGACATCTAAGATATGAGGCTTTACCGAAAAGGTTAAGAAAATATTTTTGAAAAAGTTCTGGGTCATTTGGATGCTTACCTAGTGGGCAGCAGAGATCCACACAAAACTATGGACAACTCTTTCAGTGCAACAAACACCAGCGATCAGGAGGAGTCATGCAATGAAGGTGATGGATGTGGTTGATAAACAATGATAGTTTCCAACTCTCTTCTCCAAGCTGTGACTTCACCAAGGAGGTTTATGTGTTTTTAACAAGGAATGGGTAGAGTTTGACTCAGGAGCACAGTCCAAAAAGGAAATCTGGCACCTGAAATGTTTAAAGTATGAGAACTGGAGAGAGTGACACACATTACATTGACATTCTTGCGTCCTCTGTAAAATACAAAAGTCCTGGGAATGACCAAAATTAAGAAGTTGCATAGAAATGGTCTTTTAAGTTAAGATTGACTTCAAATTGTTAATTTAATCATGCCAAACGTTGAGTAATTCCAATGAAACAAATTTGGCCGGATTGTCTGGCATTGTAAAATATCATTGTAATATCTCCCAAATGGAATGACCGCTCTCTTTGCATGACAATTGCAACATGATGTAAAAGTATGCATTCTAATATCTGGAGGGAAGTAGAATCTTTCCTTAGATGTTACTGCCCTTATTACTCATTTACTATAGGCTTTTCACTAACTATAGTTTACCAGTTAGAAACCACTAGTAAGATTGTTTGTGGTGATGGCAATGGCATCAAATGAATCTTTGTTGCTCCAAGGCCAAGGAGACTGTTCCTCTACCCATTTAGCTATAGCCTTTATGATGGTTGATTTATAATTGGTAAGCCTTCAGTTGTTATGGCTTTATCAAAAGGTTTCAAACATCTACCCGCACACTAGTTGGCAGTCTTGTCAATATAATTAAATAAATCAAACTCTACTCATAGCACCTTATGTGCAATATGTTACTTTAGCTGTGTGTAGTGCTAATAAGCTAGTGTTAGCATGCCAATACACTAAACTAAGAAGGTTAACATATTCATCATTATATCTGTTAAAAACCAACATTGTCATTGTGAGTACGTTAGCATGCTTACATTTGTAATTAGCTATAAGCAACACTATGCTGTAACTAGAGCCATAAAGAGCTGCTAGCATAGCACGTCTGACTAAAAGATAGATAGAAGTTTCGCACAATAGCAATTTTCACTGTCAAAATATTATAGTGTTTCCCTCGCTAAACACAGGTCACTTACATTTCACAGTCAATGACTTCATTTATTTTGGTCTTGTTCCTCAATTTAAACACTTGTGTGCTCTAGCTTATTTTCTTTCAGGAACTTTAGACAAAATGTATCTTTTTACCATAGATGTTAATTTGACCTGATGACACAATGTTTTGTTTATAGCTGATGCATGGAGCCACATCAGTAGAACCATCAATCTGAGCCTCTTGGCTGCAGAAAGATATGGAAACAAAGACAATTGTTTTTCAGAAATAGATCTTCACAATACAATTGTGTGTGAACCAATAACAAAACCACACAATGTTTTCATTTAATGGCTCATGCATTAGGCTATGCATCAACTGATACCATAATGATACAATATCCTCAGCTACCTGGAATCCCAAAGGAAGTTCTTATTCAAAATCCTGTCTAAACGTCGTGATCTTGTTCCAAACACAGGACATCTACACATTTCCTCTCCTACTGAGACGGATTGTTGCAGGTCGTAATTTACAACTTTTGAGTTACTTGACAGGCTTCATTTCACAAAACAGAGGTCCCTAAATATAGATTTTGAGCAAATTGAAAGTCCACAGTGGTGCAAGTACACTGCAAAAACATTCAGGCTGATCTGTACACACCATTAATCTTTCAAATCGATATTCTGCAGAAGGAGTAGTTTGACTTTCTGGGTTCGAAGGAAGTTTTCACTGTGCATTGACACGCTAATGCTGTCCACTAGTCGTCTTACACTTTCAACAAAATGGGACAAATGTGAGGAGGCAACTTTTACTGTAATCAAGGTTTTTACGGTGAAATGAAGCACTTGCACTTGCAAAGAGTGCAATATAACAGCACAAAAACAAGATTCTATATTAAGTGAGCATGTGTTTTGACCCATGGTTTTGACTGGATATAAGAAGTTGCAAAAAAAGAGCAATTGCTTCCAGGAAACTACCTGTTGCTCTCAAGTCATCTAGTTCGAGATTTCATATAAAAATGTCTCACATACCTTGGCTAACGCCAGGCATTACATCAAAGTGAGATAACCAGTGTTTGACTTGTTCTCCTCTCAAAGGTTTACATGTGACCTATGTGAGTGGGATTTGTTGATACAGGATTTGTATATTCAACACAGCAGAATATTTTCCTGGGTGATATTAAACTGGGGATCATAACAGTGATAATAACAACACTAATTGCCTGCTGGGTGATCATGTTTCAGGAGGGTCAAACACAGACAGTTTTATGCAACGTTACTAGTCACAGTTATGTAATCAGGACTACATTCAATCCAGTGGGCTAAGATTTATCCCCAGATGTGTATTTAACTGGAACGCAAGCATAATACCTAGTAATTGCATGTGAAAATTGGAGATCTGAACACCAAATACATGCAAGATGGAAGAAAGTACTAGTAAAAGTGTTTCCCTCAATTTACTTTGACTTGTACTTATTTCAATTCAGGTTAATAGGTGGACATTAAATAGGGACAATCAACCTTTTAGGTCCATCCTCTCAATTGCATTTTCATTTCTGAGATGCTAACATTTGGTAATTTCTTCCAGATTCCTTTTTCTTCCCTGTGCTGATGAAATGTTTGAAGTTATGGCAGAGCAGTAAGATATATTGAGCACATTTATAAGAGCTTAAGAACTAGGAGTATTCTGGGCTCGTTTTACAGCAAACTTGTGCAAGTATGACAAAGAGGGAACTACAAACAATGCTGGACCTACAGAAAGATTTATGTTTGTATGGACAGTGAAAGAAAGCACCATGAATAGTGTTGTGTGAGACGGAGAACAAAGTGAGAGTGAGATCTCTTCAGTGTAGCGGAGAGCAGGAGGAGGAGGAGGAGCTCTGGCCTTGGGTCCCTGGGCACAGAAGGTGCTGCAGCGGAGCTGAAGCTCCCACAGCCATACAAACTCTTAACTGAACAAGTTTATGTTCAAGATAATAACTATATGTTAATGTGCCACATCCATTGCACACCAAATATCCCTGCACCAGTGGTGGAAAATAGCAAGGCTAATACATACTTGTACATTCCTACACTTAAGAGACACATTATACTTTACTCCACAACACTTAGTTGTTCAAGATTCACATTACTTTGCTTTAATATTTTTTTAAAATTATGCATGTTTTATATATACCTATATGACAGGGATACAATCAAACATCAACTTGACCAGCTACTACATCTAAATGCTGCTTACACTTGTATTAGTTTATACTAATATAACACAAGGATCAATTTGTTTGTATAATGACTACCTCCTTTAATGAAAGTAGTAGTTATGTACCCTAGCATTGAGTACAATTCTTCTGAGGCTTTATTTATTTCACTGTCTTTAGTTTATGCAGATG